GGGACTTTGTTGCCATCATTTCCTATACCTTAAATATTCTTTCTTCCTATTTTCACCTGTGGCATCTGCAAGTCTCTCAAGAGTTCACGTCCAGTGCCACATCTTCCATGATGCTGCCCCTGCATCCTGCGGGAAACACATGTTCCTCCCTGAGCTCCCTCCAACATCACAAGTCCTCTTCCTCACATCTGCCTCTCAGTTATTTGTGTTCCATGAGGAATTACCCTCCTAATTTTTAGCTCTTTGAGGGCTGCTGTCTGCCTCAGCCTTTTAGCACAGTATTTTCTTAATGCACAATGAATGCTCCATAACATCTAGTCAAGAGAACATTATTAAAAAAACAAAGAAGAGGAAATGATTTCAAAATAGCCAGAATGACTGCCAACTCTTTTCACCAGGACATATTTTGATTAAAACATGCACTTTGGTTAAAACACAATCTCCCCATACCTGCAGGCAGCTGAGAAAAGCGTGGGCATCCCTTAGTGAAACAAAAGGAATTTAAGCCAATGAAGGTCAAGTCTGTTTATTTCATAAACTCAGCATTCCAAATAGAAGCGCTTAGACAACTAGGCTGGGTTGGGGCACTGAGAGATTAATCCATTTATTCATGTCATCAGAATCCCAGACAAAGAGGAGAAAGAGGGTGAGTTGAAAAAGTACTTAAAGAAATAATGCCTGAAACTTTCCAAATTTGGCAAAGACATAAACCTACAGATTCAAGAAGCCAAGCAAATCCAAATAGAGTAACACAAAATTCGTGCCATGATACATCACAATTAAACTTCTGATAACTAAAGATAAAGAAAAAAATGTTGAAAGAAGAGAGGGAAAAGGACACTTTGAGGGTGGGGAACAATTTGAATAAAAGTAGATTTCTCATCAGAAATGAGAGGCCAGAAGGAAGTGGTATAATATTTTTCAAGTGCTGAAAGAAAAGAACTGTCAATCCAGAATCCTAAAACAAGAGAAAATATCCTTCAGGAATGAGGGAAAATCAAGACATTCTCAGATGAAGGGAAACCAAGAGAATTCTCACCAGCAGAATGTATACTAGAAGAAAGGCTAAAAAATTCTCTAAACAGAAAGGAAACAATAAAAAAAAAGAAACCTGAAATATTGTGAAGAAAGAACAGAAAAAAGATGGGTAAATGCAATGGAGATTCCATCTCCTCTTAGTTTTCTAAGTTATGTTTAATGATTGAAGCTAAAATTATAATACTGATGTTCTAAATGTATGGAGAGGCCGGGCGCTGTGGCTCACGCCTGTAATCCTAGCTCTTGGGAGGCCGAGGCGGGCGGATTGCTCAAGGTCAGGAGTTCAAAACCAGCCTGAGCAAGAGCGAGACCCTGTCTCTACTATAAATAGAAAGAAATCAATTGGCCAACTGATATATATATATAAAAAATTAGCCGGCATGGTGGCACATGCCTGTAGTCCCAGCTACTTGGGAGCTGAGGCAGAAGGATCACTCGAGCCCAGGAGTTTGAGTTGCTGTGAGCTAGGCTGACGCCACGGCACTCATCTAGCCTGGACAACAAAGCGAGACTCTGTCTCAAAAAAAAAAAAATAAAATAAATGTATGAGAGTATAATATTTAAATATTATATATTTAAATAATATATAATATTATAACATTAAGCATTTAATATTATAAATGGGAGAAGGTAAAGGGAAGGAAATGTTGCTCTTCTTCACTCAGAAACTGATAAAATGACAACACCAGTAGACTACAATAAGTTATGTTAATACCTAGAGCAACCATTCAAAAGGCTACACAAAGAGATAACATTAAAAAATACTACAAATGGCCAGGCATGGTGGCTCATGCCTGTAATCCTAGCTCTCTGGGAGGCCGAGGTGGGCAGATTGCTCAAGGTCAGGAGTTCGAAACCAGCCTGAGCAAGAGCAAGACCCGTCTCTACTAAAATAGAAAGAAATTAATTGGCCAACTAAATATATATAGAAAAATTAGCCGGGCATGGTGGTGCATGCCTGTAGTCCCAGCTACGCAGGAGGCTGAGGCAGGAGGACCACTTGAGCCCAGGAGTTTGAGGTTGCTGTGAGCTAGGCTGACGCCATGGCACTTACTCTAACCTGGGCAACAAAGTGAGACTCTGTTTCAAAAGAAAATACTACAAATGAATCAAAATAGAATCCTAAAAAGTGTTCAAGTAACCCATAGGAAGGCAAGAAAATGAAAGTAGAGAAATGAAAAACAGAGAACAAAATACAAAAAGAAAATGACAGACTTACCATATCAATAATTATATTAAATGTAAGTGGTCTAGGCTGGGCACGGTGGCTCATGCCTGTAATCCTAGCACTCCAGGAGGGTCAAGGTGGGAGGATTGTTTGAGCTCAGGAGTTTGAGACCAGCCTGAGCAAGAGCAAGACCCCCATCTCTACTATAAATAGAAAGAAATTAGCCAAACAACTAAAAATAGAAAAAATTAGCCAGGTACAGTGGCACGTGCCTGTAGTGCCAGCTACTGGGAAGCTGAGGCAGGAGGATCACTTGAGCCCAGGAATTTGAGGTTGCTGTGAGCTAGGCTGATGCCATGGCACTCAGCAACAGAGTAAGACTCTGTCTCAAAAAAAAAAAACTCTCCATACATTTAGAACATCAGTATTATAATTTTAGCTTCAATCATTAAACATAACTTAGAAAACCTAAGAGGAGATGGAATCTCCATTGCATTTACCCATCTTTTTTCTGTTTCTTTCTTCACAATATTTCAGGTTTCTTTTTTTTTATTGTTTCCTTTCTGTTTAGAGAATTTTTTAGCCTTTCTTCTAGTATAGATTCTGCTGGTGAGAAATTCTCTTGGTTTCCCTTCATCTGAGAATGTCTTGATTTTCCCCTCATTCCTGAAGGATATTTTCTCTTGTTTTAGGATTCTGGATTGACAGTTCTTTTCTTTCAGCACTTGAAAAATATTATACCACTTCCTTCTGGCCTCTCATTTCTGATGAGAAATCTACTTTTATTCAAATTGTTCCCCATCCCTCAAAGTGTCCTTTTTCCCTCTCTTCTTTCAACATTTTTTCTTTATCTTTAGTTATCAGAAGTTTAATTGTGATGTATCATGGCACGAATTTTGTGTTACTCTATTTGGGGTTTGCTTGGCTTCTTGAATCTGTAGGTTTATGTCTTTTGCCAAATTTGGAAAGTTTTCAGGCATTATTTCTTTAAGTACTTTTTCAACTCACCTTCTTTCTCCTCTTTGTCTGGGATTCTGATGACATGAATAAATGGGATAATCTCTCAGTGCCCCAACCCAGCCTAGTTGTCTAAGCGCTTCTATTTGGAATGCCTGAGTTTATGAAATAAACCAGACTTGACCTTCATTGGCTGATAATTCCTTTGTTTTCACTAAGGGATGCCCACGCTTTTCCTAGCTGCCTGCAGGTATGGGGAGATTGTGTTTTAACCCAAAGTGCATGTTTTAATCAAAATATGTCCTGGTGAAAAAGAGTTGGCAGTCATTCTGGCTATTTTGAAATCATTTCCTCTTCTTTTTATTTTTTTAATAATGTTCTCTTGACCTAGATGTTATGGAGCATTCATTGTGCATTAAGAAAATACTGTGCTAAAAGGCTGAGGCAGACAGCAGCCCTTAAAGAGCTAAAAATTAGGAGGGGTAATTCCTCATGGAACACAAATAACTGAGAGGCAGATGTGAGGAAGAGGCCTTGTGATGTTGAGGGAGCTCAGGGAGGGAACATGTGTTTCCCACAGGATGCAGGGGCAGCATCATGGAAGATGTGGCACCTGGACGTGAACTCTTGAGAGACTTGCAGATGCCACAGGTGAAAATAGGAAGAAAGAATATTTAAGGTACAGGAAATGATGGCCACAAAGTCCCTGAAGTTGGAAAGCATGGGATGGATGTATTGGATGGGGGTGGTGAGTTGACCCAGACCATGGAGAGCTCTGTATGCCACACTAAGGATCTGGCTTTCATTTCATAGGCATTAAATGTTTTTGTAAAACCAGCTGCTTTGCTAGGATTGGGAAGGCTTAAGAGCCATTTGGCTATCTTTCCTAAATTTGGGTGCATTCCAAGCAGTGGGAGGAGGCTAATGTTTGAGTGCTTCCCTCCTGTGTGGCAGAGAGTTACCTCCATACATTGTCAATTAATCTTCAACAAAACCCCCCTCAGTTGTATGGTAGTATTCCCATTTTACAGATGAGAACACCAAGAGTTAAGTGTCTGACCAAAGACTGATTTCTTCTCTACCAAGTTGGAAGGTTGTCTTCTCCAGGTGTTTCGATGGTTAGTAGGGTTCCTTAAAACCTGTTATGAGTAAGATGGCATTGATGCTCCTGGGCCTCGAGGCACGGGATGACCAGATGACCTCAACGTCACTCTTCCTTGGGTAGCCCAGCATCCGTCTTCCCTTTATCGCCTGGAAGAGGCTTATACTCCACCCTCATGCTGTCATAGAATGGAATCTGGAAGGTACCTGAAAGATACTTAGTCCAACCCCTTATTTTTCCAGTGGGAACCAGAGGACCCAGGTGGCTAAGCCCGTCATTCACCTCCACATATAATGGGTTACTGGAAGGTTTGGTCCACTCTGCCTTGCTGGCCCTCTGTCAGTGTTGTTGTCTTCCCAAATCTCTAGGCCCCCACTTGTCCCTCTCGACACATGTTTTTCCTTTCAGGTCTTTTATTTTCCCCACAAGGTGTTTTAGTTTTTGTGTTTTTTGGAGATAGGGTATCACCCTGTTACCCAGGTTGGAGTGCAGTGTAACCTCGAACCTCATTGTAACCTCAAACTCCTAGGCTTAAGTGATCCTCCTGCCTCAGCCTCCTGAGTAGTCGGGTCTACAAGGGCACACTACCACACCTGGATAATTTTTAAGTATTTTGTAAAGACAGGGTCTCTCTGTGTTGCCTAGGCTGGTCTTGAACTCCTGGCTTCCCAGAGTGCTAGGATTACAGGTGTGAGCCACCATGCCCAGCCTGTCTACTTTTAAATTAGGTTGATCTCTAGATAAATATTTATTATCTTACCTGCTTTCACTTGGATAATTTCTGTCTGTGTGGCTCATACAAATGGGAGTCTGAATTCAAGTATTTTCCTATAGTTTGATTCAGGAAGAATATGCTAGTCTTGTAGAGTGCATCAGTAATTTCCTAGCTGGTTGTGTGGAGCAGAAATTCTGGATTAGGAATGACCAGTCCGGGGATGACCTCCCTACAGCTGCGGGAAGGGGAGTCCATCCAATGTGCTTCCTGTACTCTGAGTACCAGGGTAGCCCCATGGGAGCCGTGCGGAGCAGTGAGCTGTGTAGTCTATGGTGCAGTGGAAAGAGAACTGTCAGATGGCCCCAGAGACATCCCAACACCTGGCCACGGGCAAGATAACACCGTCTCTATGGACCTCAGTTGTCCTTGTCTGTGAAGTGGTGATGATACGACCCATTCCACAGGTTGGCAGAAGCACACCTGTACTTGTAGACTGTAAAGGTAAAGGGTTTTTGTTCCTGTCATTGTCATTATTAGGGCAGCGTGGACATTTTCAGGCTGACTCTCCAGAGTGAACTGACAGGGGATGAACTTGAGCACATAGCCCAGAAGGTATTGAGGTTTCTCGTGCGGCGAGGCCCCGACTCCTCACCAGTTGTCCCTCCTTGCTGCTGACTCATCACCCCATGCTACCTGGAGCCATCTCTGCTGTCGCAAGCTTGGGAGCATCTCCTTTCAGAAATACCAGCTGACCTCAGCATTGCGCACTGCTTTGGAGGATGGGGAGACCCCTGCTAAAATGAAAACTAACCTGCGATTTCTGCTAATTTTCCTTGTCCGGGGTTCTTGCTGCTGTGTGGCTTCTGTTAGAGGTTCTGAAATGAATTGTTGGAGGGGAAAACCAGACTAACTCCTCAAGTCTTCTGAGAAGCAGGTCTTCTGCGTTGGTCGAGGGGTTGGAGTTCTGGGCTGGCCATGTGGTTTCTGAGCCACCTCTCTCTGTGTTTCTCTGCTAGGCGGGCAGGAAGACCTATGCCATGGTGTCCAGCCGCTCAACTAGTCATTCTCTGGCTTCAGAACTGGTGGAGTCCAATGATGGACATGAGGAGATCATTAAGGTAAGCTTAGTTGGCCACCTTTCTACCTCCTCTCATTCTCCCTGCAGGTACATGAGAGGGAGCAGCTGCAATTGCCAACGGAAGCTTGTGGTTTGACTGGAAGGAACCAGACCTGAGATACTAGTTCCTGGCCATCTCCTGGAAATATCCTTAGACTTCCAGGAGACTATAATCCGCCCATAGTGGCTTTGGTACAATCTGGCGGCAGGGATGACCTTACTAGGTGCTTATCCAATGGCCAGTTTTTGCTGCTGGAGGTTGTAGAGACAGGTGGGAGGTGTGTTTATGGAACTTATTTTTTAAAATTAGAACAACTTTTTATTTCTTTTTGTTTTAAATAAAAAACAGCTTTTTGCAATAAAATTCACATACCATATAATTGACCCAGTGAATGTATACTCATGCTGCATAATGATGTTTCAGTCAACAATGGACCACATATATGGTGGTGGTCCCATAATACCATACTTTTACTGTACTTTTTCTATGTTTAGGTATGTTTAGAGGCACCAATACTTACCATTGTGTTGCAGTTGTGTTATAGTATTCAGTACAGTGAAGTACTGTTCAGGTGTGCAGCCTAGGAACCATAGGCTATAGCACATAGCCTAGGTGTGTAGTAGGCTATACTATCTAGGTTTGTGTAAGTGCATTTGTTTGCATGACAAATTTGCCCCGTGACACATTTCTCAGGATAGATCCCTGTCGTTTGGTGATGCGTGTGACTGTATTTGTGTGTTTATGGCTATATAGCTATATATCATTTAGCTAAATTTATTGCGTTAGGATAAATTTCCAGAAGTAGATTTGCTAAGTCAAAGAGTAAATATATTTCTAAGTGTTCTGATCTGAATCACCAAATTGCTACCCAGTAAATTGATGGTAACAATTTAGCCTCCTACCAGGATTGTATGAAGCTGCCCGTTTTTTGTGGAATTAATTTAATTTGAGGTTTCTTAACTAAATAGTGTTATCTTCCTTTTTTCAGGTATACTTGAAGGGGAGGTCTGGAGACAAGATGATCCACGAGAAGAATATTAACCAGCTGAAGAGTGAGGTCCAGTACATACAGGAGGTGGGTGCCTCTTCTCTGTGGAGGAGTGGTTGGGTTATTTCTCTAAAGCTCACATTTATTTTTTGGCTTCCTTTTTTTTTTTTAAGGATTCTGTTTTTTTCTCCTCTGTTCCCTTTATGACTCTGAAGTGCCACCATGGCCTCTCATGTGTCAAACATCATTTTTGACCCTTTGTACCCAATCCATTAATCCACAGGTACTTTACAAAGGACCATGTGCCTAGCACTGTTCCCCAGCCATATTATCTAAAGTCTCAGTCACCTTTCCCAACGTTTCCTAACTATCATCCATGGCTCATTTTTCTCCTTGGCATGTGTTACCACATAACATATTACATGTTTTATTTATTGGTCTGCTGTGTTGTGTGTCTCCCCAACTAGAATGTTGGCCATAGCCCCACTTGACCCAGGGTCTCTCCTTCCTTCCTGCAGCCAGTACTTAGAACAGCATCTGACTCACAGTAGTATGGGCAGGGGGCGGGCACAAAGGTGGGGGAGTCGGTGTGCTCCCTTTCTCTGCCCTAAAGCTCAAGTTTCTTGCCCTCCCTTCCCAGGCCAGGAACTGCCTGCAGAAGCTCCGGGAGGACATCAGTAGCAAGCTTGACAGGGATCCCAAAGAGTCTGTCCATCGACAGGAGATACAGGTAATAGGAAATAGCCCACGGTTGGGTCCCCACTGAGGAGGTGGGCTTGTGCCAGGCATTCTCATGTGGCAATTACATGGTGTGTGCTGAATCTAGCACCACTCCAAGAATGGAGAAAATCTAGGCATGCTGGCTTCTCTGAACACTCACAATCTAGAGTTAGGGCTCTCCAGCAGATGGGTGCTTGCACTTACATGTGTCAGCCTGTGTGTAAGTACACCTGACCCTAAAACACCATACAAAATGGAATTTTATAATGAATGATCATCAGTTACTGGCAAAGCCTCTTATCTATAAGTGTTCTATGATTGATCTTCTTGCAATGTAGAGTTTTATAAAGCACTCTCCCCTATATCCAAACTTCTCATAAGTTGATCTTGCTTAATTTGGGTGATACTTGTGCTATAAACTGAAGTCTTCGTCCTGCTTCTTCCTGGCCTGTTATTAATCTGTTTAAATAACTATTAATATATCTAACCTGGTATGGAAAGCTCCTCGAGGTTAGGGGTTCACCTCTCCGCCCTGTAGTCTGGGATGTAGAAGGCATCAGTAAATATTTGTTAGACTGAGCAGATTGGATAAATCCTTTCTGGGATGGAGAATCCTGGGATCGTGCTTTTCAGCTTTTCCAAAATTTGAGGATAGAAATGTCCTGACTCTCCTTTAGGTTCTGAGCTGCATTTCCTTCCTTTGCATTTCGGTTTGGGCGGGGTGGTCATTCTCCAGCAGTCCCTGCCTTCATTCCCCTGGAGGGAGCAGTGGCCCAGCAGCTGGTGCCAGGACAGTTCTTTGTCTTGGTCAGGCACTGGGCTTGTGTGGTGGACATTCCCTAATTTATTTTTCTGTGGCCAAAAGGTAGGACTTTCGTGTGGCTGGCGGGAGATGCTTTGTCAGGTGGTGGAAGAGCCTAATGTGCTCAGAGACTGGCCCAAAAGTCCAGGCCTTGCATTTGCACAAATCAGCCCTCAGATGATGAATAATCAGGCATTCTTTTGGAAAGAATATGACAAAAGCTGCTTCCCCTTGCCATTTATGCTTTGTCAAACCTTGTCAGGATCCCTGGGGGCGAGGGAAACTGTTACAGGCAGTTGCTCGTGTTCCCCTGGCTGAGAGGAATGGGCTCCTTGTATTTTCCAACCTGCTGAGAGGTTTTAGCCTGAGGCTTCTTTCGTCCTTCTTACAAGGTTAGGGTGCTCTGTCTGGGGGGGCGGGCCACACGCAGTTCTCCACCCCCTCTGATTTCTGTGTTCCCATAGAGCACTGGAAGTCTTTTTTTCCCTTTCCCTTCCCTTCCTTCCATGCTTTGCCTTTCTCTCCTTCCTTCCCTTTCTTCCCTTTCCTCTCTTTCCTCCTCATCCTTCTCTCTCTCCCTTCCTTTTTTCTCTCCTTTCCTCTTCCTTCCTCTCCTCCCTCTTTCTAAGATTTGAGTCTTAGAAGAATAATGTTTTTAAGCTGGTTGCTTGGGACTGTTTTAACTACCAGTTTTATTTTTGTTTCAACAGGTGGTTCTAGAAAAGCCAAATGGCTTTAGTCAGAGTCCCACAACCCTGTACAGCAGCCCACCTGAGGTAGGTGACAGAGGGGACACCCTGGTGACTCTGCTTAGCCAGGGGCAGACCTCCTCTTCCTGATCCTTCTTTGTTTATTGCCCTCCAGATGCTCTCTCTCTCTCTCTCTTCTGTTTTCTCACTAAATACGAGTAATACTTAATTGATGTAATTCACACTAGAGAAATATAAAAGTAGGAATTCCCCTTCTCCAGTCCCAGTCTTGGGAAGTATTGCCGTTAGCAGACTGAGTGGGTGGGTCCTTCTCAAGCAGCACTTCTTAGCCTCGGCTGCCCTGGAATGGCTTAAGACTTTAAAGGAGATCATACCGGGTCCAACCCAGGGATAGTAATTCTGAGATGTGACTGGGCATCAGGACTTTTAAAAGCTCTTCGGTGATGCTAGTGTTTTAACCAAATTGAGTACCAATTATCTATAGTCAGTGTGGAATATGTTTTCCTTATACATAGATAACCATATTTAATACATATTATATATGTTATTATATACACACATCAATATACATGTGTATATATATTAAAACTACTTTTCACAGATATAAGATCATGATAAAGACATTATTCCTTGCTTGCTTTTTAATTTTTTTAAACTGAAGAGTATAATTATAGTCATCTTTCCATATTAGCACATATAGATCTAAATCATTTTTTATAACTGCTTAGTATTTCTTCATGGCTGTACTATAAAAAAATGTATTTACTTAAATATACATATGGCATTTCTTTATATTTTGTTTTGTTTTTTGAGACAGAGTCTCAATCTGTTGCCCAGGCTAGAGTGGCATAGCATCAGCCTAGTCACAGAAACCTCAATCATGGGCTCAAGTGATCCTCTGCCTCAGCCTCCCAGGTAGCTGGGACTACAGGCATGTGGCACCTTGCCAGTTTTTTTATTTTTTCGTAGAGACGGGGTCTCACCTTGCTCAGCTGGTCTCGAATCTCTGGCTCAAGCAATCTCCACTGGGCCTCCCAGAGTGTTAGGTTACAGATGTGAGCCCCCTTGCCTGGCCTGTGTTTGTTTTTGTTCTTCAGTTGGTATTTTGCCTTGATGTTTTTGGCTCTCGTACAGGTGATCACCACATTGTTTCTCAGCACGTCATCCTCAATGAATGCCCTCAGCTCCTAATGTTTTATTTTCTTTTTTCACTACTTCCCTAACCTACCACAGGTACTTCTCCCTATTGATTCCGAGTATTGACTTAAATATCCTGTAGAATGTTTCATTTCAGGATGGACTTGCGTCTATTCTTTTTTATTTGCTTTTTCTTTGGTTACCCAGCACCATGTTTTTAGTGTATATCTAATACATTCTTCATAAATAGTTTCTTTCTACCTCCTCATGTAGTGTTTTTTTTTTTTTTTTTTGGCAGGTTCACTTGTTGCCCAGGATACGGTGAGTGCCGTGGGTGTCAGCATAACCTCACAGCACTCAAATTCCTGGGGCAGTGATGCCTCTCCTGCTCGAGCCCAAGTAGCTGGGACTACAGCATCGCCACCATGCCCGGCTGATTTCTAATATATTAGTTGACCATTAATTCTTTCATTTATAGTAGAGACTAGGGTCTTGCTCTTGCTCAGCTGGTTTGAATCTGCCTCAGCATCACTGCGGCTTCCCAGAGGTGCTAGGATTACAGTGTGGGCCGTACCCAGCTCATGTATTTTGTTTTTTTTTTTTTTTTTTTTGGAGAGTTCGCTTTCTTGCCTAGGCTAGGTGAGTGCCGTGGCGTCAGCCTGTCACCGCACTGACTCTGGGTAAGCAATCTGCTGCCTCAGCCTCCGGTAGCTGGACTCAGGCCGGGCACATGCCGGTGATTATTTGTTTTATATTTAATATTGTGGCAATTAATTCTTTCTATTTTATGGTAGGACGCGTCTCGGTCAGGTGTTTTGAATCCTGACCTTGGCATCCGCCCGCTCGGATCAGAGTGCTAGGATTACAGGCGGAGCCACGCGCCGGCCCTCTGTGTTTTATCGTTACTTTTTTTCTTGTTTATACATTCTTTTTTGTTTGTTTTTTGTCAAACAGAGTCTCGCTTTGTTTCCGGCTAGTGAGTGCGTGGAGTCAGCCTAGTTTCACAGCACTTCAAACTCTGGGTCCAAGATCTTTGCCTCAGCTTTCCAGTGTTGGAAAGGCATGTGCCACATGCCTAGGCATTTTTTATATTGTTGGCAATTATTCTTTCTTTTAGTGAGATGGGGTTGCTCTTGCTCGGCTGGTTTTGAAACTCTGCTTGAGAGTCTGCCGAGTTGGCTCCCCGGTGTTAGGTTACAGATGGCACTGGCCTGGCCTCATTTGTTTATATCATATGATGGAATAATTTTTGAAGTTATTTCATTATAATAGTTTATGGAAGGACCTTTGTATACTATAGTTGTGTTCCAGGAGCCTTGAAAGCATTTCACCTGTTCAGCTGGCTTAGGCTGGGGCAGTAGGCGAATTGAATCAGTAATTACTGAGGTCTAGATTAGAATGTCTGCGTCTAGCCCTCTTCAGATGTGCAGTTTGGTTTCCCATTCCCTTGAAGTCACCACATTTGGCAAATAACGTTAAGGAAAATAATTAATAACCTGGTAATACATGTTTAGCCTCTTTTCTGACAAGCTCAAAGCCCTGCAGTATTACTTGGCCTATTGCTTTTCTTTTCAATTTAATAAAGTTTTATTTTTCCAAATACAGTTGGTTTGACCCGTTCACACATCTTCGCCAGCAGCTGGGGCATATCTCCACCCTTGGTATTTCTGGTGTGTAAATTATTGAGCTTGTGCTTTGAAACAGTTGATGGCCTTTACTAAGGAGCTCCTGAAGGGCTGCCCTGGCCAGGGAACCTCGAATCCTCAGTCTCTCAGAGACCACAGCTGGGGTTATAAGCTTATAGTTGGGAACTTCCTGACAGAGTTTGTCATATGTAGCTTTGTTAAGCAAGACTAAGTTGTTGAGCTTGTCCCGAACTTTGCCTTGGGACCACTTCTTTTGGGCCTTGCCCCCAGATTTGTTCACTGGGTCTTTGTCTGTCTTGGCCGACTTTCCGGCATCTTTCTTCTTCTTGTCGTCCCTGGGCAGCATCTCGAAGCTTGGAGAAGCGCTGCAACTACCACGGCCTCGTTAAGATGTCAGATAAAAAAGCATCTTGGCTATTTTTAAGGCAGCCTGTAAGGCAGGGTGTTGTAAGGAGTCTTCTCACTGCTTCACAGATGAAGAAAGGAAGGCCCACAGGTCCTGGTAATAAACGCAGCGACTGGGACCCTGTCTCCCTCCTCCTAACTGAGAGCTCTGTGCTCTGGTTTGAAGGTATCGCTGCTTCCCACCGTGCAAGACGGGGAGCGATTCTCCCGTCAGACCCTCAGGGAGCTCGTAACTGGTGTCTGGTGTCTGTGCAGCAGAGGTGGGGGCGAGACCCTACATGTCAGCTCAGCCCTAATCACCAGCCCACAGTTGGGTGTGTCTGGGAGAGAGACTGAGCAATAACCTTGATGAGACACCTTTTCCTACACTGAATCAGATTGTGGACAGTAACCCTTCACACGCTGATCTCGGTGCCTGGTGCCGAGAACGGTAAAAGGTGTGCCTTTGGGCCCCAGCCCTGGAGACGAGTTCCAAAGAGGAACACGGACCCCGCTCTCAGAGAGGTCTGATGCAGGGAAGCAGGACACAGCATAAAGATGGCATGCATACACATACCTGCCAAGAAATCATTGATTGACATAAGTACACACTATTACTGAGCGTGTCTTAAAATAATTGGGTGATTTGAGGCTAGCTGAATTCTTTAGGGTGTGAAGGGAGAATGTTTCATTGAATAACTCAGAAGTCAGTGAAATGGCTGCCTAAGACCAACTCTGCCCCGTGTGATGTTAATTCTTTTGTGAGTGTGGTCTGGGTGAGATGGTGCAAACCAGCATATGGCAGGGAACGGACCTTCTTACCAAATAACAAACGTGGTGGCTTTGCCTTCCTTTCCCTGCTCTGGTCGTAGGTGGACACCTGTATGAATGAAGATGTCGAGAGCTTGAGGAAGACCGTGCAGGACTTGCTTGCCAAGCTGCAGGAGGCTGAGCGTCAACACCAGTTAGACCGTGTGGCTTTTGAGGTGAGATCTGGGATTTGGGGAGAAGGTGCCCTAAGGGATGGGCTGCTGGATGCAGGTGCCAGTGACGTTCTTGAGCATTTCTTTTATTTTGTTTTGTTTTTTGAGACAGAGTCTCAATATTTGTTGCCCAGGCTAGAGTGCCATAGCATCAGCCTAGCTCACAGCAACCTCAAATCCTGGGCTCAAGTGATCCTCCTGCCTCAGCTCCGAGTAGCTGGGGTACAGGCATGTGCCACCATGCCCAGCTTATTTTTCTTTTTTTTTCGTAAGGACGGGTCTCACCTTTGCTCAGGCTGGTCTCGAACTCCTGGCCTCAAGCAATCCTCCCACCTGGGCCTCCCAGAGTGTTAGGATTACAGGTGTGAGCCCCCTTGCCTGGCCTGTGTTTGTTTTTTGTTTCTTCAGTTGGGTATTTTTTTGCATTGGATGTTTTTGGCTCTCAGGTACAGGGTTGACTCAGACCCACCTATTAGTTCTCAGCACGTCATCCTCATGATGCCCTCAGCTCCTAACTGGTTTTACTTTTCCTTTTTCACCTCTTTCCTAATACCCACAAGGGTCACTCTCCTAATGAATTCAGTATCTGACTTTAAATATGCCTGTAAAATGTTTTCAATTTACAGGATGGGGCTTGCGCTATATCTTTTTATTCTGGCTTTTTCTTTTTTACCCGCACTGTTTATGGTTTTTATTATATCTAATACATTGCTGTCATAAAATCTAGTTTTTCTTTCTACCTCCCTCATTATGTTTTTTTTTTGTTTGTTTTGTTTTTGAGACAGAGTCTCACTTTTGTTGTCAGGTAGAGTGAGTGCATGTGCGTCAGCCTACGTTCACAGCAACCTCAATTCCTGGGCTCAGTGATCCTCCTGCCTAGCCTCCAAGTAGCTGGGACTACAGGCATGTGCCACTATGCCAACTGATTTTTTCGTATATATATTAGTTGGCAATTAATTTCTTTCTATTTATAGTAGGGAGGGGTCTTGCTCTTGCTCAGGCTGGTTTTGAACTCCTGACCTCAAGCAATCCACCTACCTGCCTTGGCCTCCCAGAGTGCTAGGATTACAGGCGTGGGCCACCGTACCCAGCCCCTCATGTAGTTTTATCGTACTTTTTTTTCACTTTGTATTATACCATTCTTTTTTGTTTTTGTTTTTTTTCAAGACAGATCTCACTTTGTTCAGGATAGAGTGAGTGCCATGGCGTCAGCCTAGTTCCCAACAACCTCAAACTCCTGGCTCAAGCAATTCTTCTGAGCTCCAGCCTCCAAGTAGCTGGGACTATAGGCATGTGCCCACATGCCTAGCCAATTTTTCCTATGATATTAGTTGGCCAATTAATTTTCTTTCTATTTATAGTAGAGATGGGGTCTTGCTCTTGCTCAGGCTGGTTTCGAACTCCTGACCTTGAGCAATCTGCCCGCCTTGGCCTCCCAGAGTGTTAGGATTACAGGCATGAGCCACTGCGCCTGGCCTCACTTTGTATTATAACATATGATGAAATACTATTTTCATGAAAGTTTGTCATGTCATTAAATAGTCTTATGAGAAGACCATTTGAAATAAATACATAATAGTTGTGTTCCAGGAGCCTTGAAAGCATTTTCACCTGTTCAGTGGCTTAGGTGAGGCAATAGGGGAATTGATCAGATAACTTACTGATGTCTAGATTTAGAATGTCTCGATTCTAGCCACTCTTCAGATGTGCAGTTTGGGTTTTCCCATTCCCTTGAATCACCACATTTGGCAAATAACGTTAATGGCAACAAATTATATTAATAACACCTGGTAATATCTGTTTAGCCTCTTTCTTCTGACAAGCTCAAAGCCCTGCCAGATATTATCTTGGCTATTGTTTTCTTTTTTCAATTTAATAAAGTTTTATTTTTCCAATACAGGTTTTGACCGTTCACACATCTTCGCCAGCATGGGCATCTCCACCCTTGGTATTTCTGGTGTAAATTACTTGAGCTCTGTGCTTTGGAACCAAATAATGTTTTTAAGCTGGTTGCTTGGGACTGTTTTAACTACCAGTTTTATTTTTGTTTCAACAGGTGGTTCTAGAAAAGCCAAATGGCTTTAGTCAGAGTCCCACAACCCTGTACAGCCGCCCACCTGAGGTAGGTGACAGAGGGGACACCCTGGTGACTCTGCTTAGCCAGGGGCAGACCTCCTCTTCCCTGATCCCTTTCTTTGTTTATTGCTCCCTCACAGATGCACTCTCTCTCTCTCTCTCTCTGCTTTTTCTCACTAAATACAGGAGTAATACTTAACTTGATGTAAAAATTCACACAATAGAGAAATATAAAAAGTAGGAATTCCCCTTCTCCAGTCCCAGTCTTGGGAAGTATCTGCCGTTAGCAGACTGAAGTGGGTGGGTCCTTCTCAAGCAGCACTTCTCAGCCTCGGCTGCCCCCTGGAATGGCCTTAGAGCTTTAAAGGAGATCATACCCGGGTCCCAACCCCAGGGATAGTAATTCTGAGATGTGACTTGGGCATCAGGACTTTTAAAAGCTCTTCAGGTGATGCTAGTGTTTAACCAAAGTTGAATGCCAATATTCTATAGTCAGGTGGTGGAATATGTTTTCCTATACATAGATAACCATATTTAAATACCATATTATATATGTTATTATATACACACATACCATATATACATGTGTATATATATATATAATACATACTTTTCACAGATATAAGATCATGATAAAGACATTATTCCTTGCTTTTTTAATTTTTTTAAACTGAAGAATATAATTATAGTCATCTTTCCATATTAGCACATATAGATCTAAATCAATCTTTTGAATAACTGCTTAGTATTTCCTTCCATGGCTGTACTATAAAAAAATGTTTTTTATTAAATACTACATATGGCATTTCTTTATATTTTGTTTTGTTTTTTGAGACAGAGTCTCAATCTGTTGCCCAGGCTAGAGTGCCATAGCATCAGCCTAGCTCACAGCAACCTCAAACTCCTGGGCTCAAGTGATCCTCCTGCCTCAGCCTCCCAGGTAGCTGGGACTACAGGCATGTGCCACCATGCCCAGCTTATTTTTTCTATTTTTTCGTAGAGACGGGGTCTCACCCTTGCTCAGGCTGGTCTCGAACTCCTGGCCTCAAGCAATCCTCCCACCTGGGCCTCCCAGAGTGTTAGGATTACAGATGTGAGCCCCCTTGCCTGGCCTGTGTTTGTTTTTTGTTTCTTCAGTTGGGTATTTTTTTGCATTGGATGTTTTTGGCTCTCAGGTACAGGGTTGACTCAGACCCACCTATTAGTTCTCAGCACGTCATCCTCATGAATGCCCTCAAGGCCTCCTAACTGGTTTTACTTTTTCTTTTTTCACCTCTTTCCCTACCTACCCCACAAGGGTCACTCTCCCTAATGAATTCAGTATCTGACTTTAAATATGCCTGTAGAATGTTTTCAATTTACAGGATGGGCTTGCGCTATATCTTTTTTATTCTGCTTTTTCTTTGTTTACCCAGCACCATGTTTTTAGTGGTATATCAATACATGGCTGTCATAAAATCTAGTTTTTCTTTCTACCTCCCTCATGTAGTGTTTTTTTTTTTTTTTTTTTTGAGACAGAGTCTCACTTTGTTGCCCAGGATAGAGTGAGTGCCGTGGTGTCAGCATACCGTTGAATAAAGCTAATATTACAAAGACTCATTCACATGCAGTTTAGCCCCATCCACACTCTCGAATTTGTTTAACTACTGTTTGCTTCTGTCAAAATATGATATCACCTCTGATCTTCATCTCTCCTGTCAATTTGAGGCATCACTCAGTAAAACATGACACTCACACGCATAACCTTCAAATTTCTCTGGGCTCAAAGTGATCTCCGCCTCGCTCCCAAGTAGCTGGACTACAGGCATAGCGCCACCATGGCCCGGCTGTTTTCATCTTATCTATTATTATATTAGGTGACCAATTAATTTCTTTCTTTATTTATAGTAAGGACAGCGGTCTTGCTCATGTTCAGGCTGGTTTTGAACTCCTGACTCAAGGCAATCCAACTCCTGCCTTGGCTCCAGGAGTGCATATGGATTACAGGGTGTCCCCGTACTCCAGCCCCTCATGTAGTTTTTTTTTTTTTTTTTTTTTTTTTTGAGAAGAGTCTCGCTTTCTTGCTAGGCTAGAGTGAGTGGCGTAGGCTGTCAGCCTAGCTCACCAGCTAACCTTCAGACTGCTGGCTCAGCAATCCTGCTGCTCAGCCTCCCGAGATAGCTGGACTACAAGCGAGCACCGTATGACCGGGTTGATTTTTTTTTAATATCTAATAACATAAAACCCCTTAACTGATTTAGCTTGAGGCCCAGTTATTATGCACATTTCATATTTTCAAATGATTGTGAGACGGAGACAGCGAATATTTGATGTGTCTGTTCGCTCATTGCTGGATATTGTCTGAACTCCTGACCTGAGCAATCGCCGCCATCTAGGCCTCCTCATTTTTTCATAACCCAGAGTGCTTAGGAAGTTTCAAGGCGTGACGCACACCTAATAGCGCCCAGAGCCATCCATTGTGTTCAGATTTATCGTTACATTTTTTATTCACTTGCTTAAATTCAATTCTTTTTGTATTGTTTCTTATATCAGACAGAGTCTCCTTGTATGATTAGGGCAGGTGAGTAGCGTTTTATTCGCGTCAAACTAGGGTTCAACCTGTCATATGCCTCACAATCTTCTGGCACAAGCAATACATCATGTCTCTCAGGCTGCCTATCCAGTAGCTGGAGTTCACTATAATTGTTAGCATGGTGTTACATGCTCTCCCTAAGCCTATTGTTTTTATTGGTATATATCGTTTGCACATCAATTAATTCCTCTATGGGTATCTAATTTTATGTAGAGATGGGTCCTTGTCTTGCTCAGCTGTTTTGAACTCCTGACCTTGAGCAATCTGCCCGCCTTACCTCCCAGAGTGTTAATACAGGTATGAGCCAATTGCAGGCTTGTAGCACCTTTTTGTGACTATATTGGATATATATGCA